TCTTCAGAAGTGGGAAGATCATTTCATACTAGAGTAAATAGACCAGCAACAGAATGAATGTTAATGTATTTTTTTGTTTATTTGTTTGAGGGTGGGGGAAGTATAGCAAACAAATTTCAAAACATTGAAGATATTTAGGTAACAGGCTTTAAGAGCCTGTATGGCACATTCAAGTAAATTCTAGACAGTCAGATTGATTCCTGACCCTACCCAATGGCAGTTAATAGTAACTAACATTTATTAAGCACATACACGATGTGTTTTATATTTATCCACTCATTTAAGTCTCGCAAAGTAATGAGATATGCACTGTTGTTGTCCCAGTTTTATGGATGAGACAACTGAGATACAGATAAGTCATTTGCCCAAAGTCATGTATCTGTGAAGAGCCTCAATTTAAATTATGGTAGTCTGTTTTCAGAGACTAAACTAGTAAGTACTCTGTTGCTTTCCTGCTTGTGGTTCTAAGTGTACTTTCCTGCCTTGTTTATGGTTGGCTGAGTAGCTGGATGGGCCTGAGCTTCAACATGAAGGCCCTCTGTTTCCCTAGGAGAGTAGGCAGCGACCGACACAGCTGTAGCATTGGGACCAGAATCTAGCCTCCCAATCTTAGAGCAGTATTTCTATGATATATGGGCAATAGAACATTTCAGCAAAAAATGGCTTAAATTGGTTTATTGGTAAGATTAATTTGGCAATGATACTTGGCATGTTTTAGAGTGGAAAGCATCTAGAGGCAGAGAGATCAGTTAAGGTTTTGTGTGTTTTTCACTTTTCCTGGCATGATTATAAGGGAGCCTGATTGGTAAGAGGGGAAATTGGCCGTGAAACAGTGCAGTGGAAATTTGAAGTAGGACACATTCTGTTGCCTAATGGATTTATTACTTCAGCACTTTTAGGCCTCATATTTTTCTCATCTACAAGATGGGGGCAATAGGATAATATAATCTCTTAGGACTCAAGTCTAATTCTAATATACTATGATATTTCTGATCTGTTGATTGAAAAATAAGTAGTAAAAATGTAGGGGTCATGTTCTGGATGATGGTTTGAGGGTTACTGATTTCAAGGTGATTGTTGGAACTTTGCCAAAGGATGACCTATACAAGACTGAATAGATCTGAGTGGTAAATATTTTTATGTGAATGTTCTGCAAGCATTACAAGTTCCGTATTTCAAGACTGAATTCATGTTTCCCCCAAAATATGCTTTTTCTCTCCCTGATTTCCCTATCTTGGTTAATGGCATTACCATTCTTTTGCCACTCAAGGAAGACTGAGAGAGTTGTATTTGCTCTCCACATTTACCTTTATCCACTTGGTACATAGATTCCACTGGTTTTACCTCGTTTCTCACCCCACCCCCAACCTTCCTCCTCTTTACTGACACTCCTACTGCTTTACTTGGGACAGTCGTAAACTGTGTCATACCTGGATTCCCTGAGTGGAGCTTACCCTCTTCTGGTACTGCCCTTTTTCTGATGCAGAAATCTGATCAGACTTTCTTATTAGCCTTAGAATAAAGTTCTTAGCACAAAAACTTTATCATGGCATTCGAGAACTTTCCTGAAGAAGCCATTGCTATGTTGCATGTTCAACTACTCCCCCTTGTTCTCTACATTCTAGTCATATGAGACTACTCAGTATCTTATTGCTGTCTTATTTTATATTTCTTTGCTTTTGCTCTGCCTTGAATCTCCTTTCCCTGCTTTGCTAACTCCTGCTCTTGCTGCAAAACCACATTCACTGTAGAACCTTCACTGCTTCCTGGCGTCTTTCCCCTCCAAAGTGGCTCAGTCCTTTGTATAGCCACAATATAGGTGTCACTTTTCTGATACTTTTTCACAATTCTGTAAACATTTGCATCAATACATTTCCTTTACAGTGAACTCCTTGATAGAAGGGATTATGTCTTAACTTTGGACTGGACCTCTTAGCACAGTACTTGATGTATGTGCAGCCTGGTAAATGTATAGCTCAATCATCCATTCCACACATCTATTAACTCCTCTCAGAACAAATGATCAGAAGTGGTGCACTAGATGTTTTACTCTTACTTGCTAGTCTGATGATCACTATCCTAAGTTTTATCCTGAATGTGTAAGTGGAAGCTCTTGAGAACTGGTTGACTTTATTAGTAGCTTGTTGTAAACCTCTTAGCTTTTTTAGTTTGCTTATAAATATTCTTAAAGATTACATTTTGAAAATCAGCATTGAAATTTTTGGCTTTTAAATGTTTTTGGAAGGAAAGAATGTGGTCTGACTGAAATGAATCTGAACATTTCCCCCCTTATGACCCTTCCCTCTACCCCCATGGTATGCTTATAGTGTGAATGAAACCTCAGAAGAATACATTAATGTAATGTAACCAAAATACTCATGTTACATGTAGCTTTGGATTGGTCATGTCATCTGCAGAAAAATGCAAGTAGGGACATTTATTTCATTTTGAATTTTAGAGGGAAGGGATCGGCCTTTATTAGAAAGATCTATTTCAGCAGGTTTACATACAGAAGAAAAAGTACTTATTTGCAATCTTGATCTCTATTAACTGTTGTTGAAATTCATCACTAGTCAGCCCTTCTGTTCTCTTTACATTGAAATCTTAAATAGTGTTTGTTTTAAATGCTATACTACATTTTTCTATTAAAAAAGCAACATTCATCGGTGAAAAGTATAATTACCTAATGGCAGGTCATTAGCTCAGAACTTTGAGCTTAGCAAATTTCACTGTCTTCTACCAAGCAATTGAATTTCTCAAATGATGACTATTTCAGCAGGTATCTTTAATGAATAAAAATTACAGGTAAGAGCATTTTTTTCTTTTCAAAAGTGTTAATGATGTATTAGTAGTTATATTAAAATTTGTTAATCTTAATGTGTGCTTTTGTAGTTATAAAAGTGTAGTATACATTTTAATGCTGAATTTATAATGAAATTCTATGTAGTGTGCTTTTCTAATTTTTTTTCAGATTTGTTATTATAAATTTTTTCATAAGTTATTACAATTCTGTCCCTTCAACAGAATACCAGTATGGTTAAAGCCACAAAACAAGATTGTGAACATAAGCCTTTTATTGCTAGTTATTTCAATAATTAATTTTGTTCTCATCTACCAGTTTCTTAGCCAGTAAAATGAATACTTATAAAAACCTGTCACCAACCTCCCTTGCAGGAGATATTAAGAAAATTCAGTTTCCCCAGTTGAAATACCAGCAGTAATAGTAACACATGCTTAATAGCTTTCATTTTAATTGATGCATAAAATCAATTTATTAGAATAGTGATATGTGAAAATGATTAGCATGGTAATGTTTCTTCGGTAAGAATTTAAGGTCGGTCTTTGATAACATTTTCAACAGTAAGCTGAAAAGGAAAATTCTTCTATAAAATATTTTTAAACTATTTTGTGACCAGTTTGTTTCACAGTTTTCATACTGTTTTAAAATTATTAAATGCTTATAAATGATTATCAGTTGTAATATACGGTTATTTCAAAACTTCTTTAATCCAATATCTACTTTTTGTTTCTTCTGACTAATTTTCCATGTTTTCTTACAACTTTACACATGTTATTCTTAAAACTGTTACTTTCCCGTGTAAATTATTAAAGCAATAAAGTTGTACTTTACACTTAATATTATTTCATCTTTATGACTATTGTTTACAATTAAATATCTGAGAGAATTACAAAATCTTTAACCTCAAAAATGATACGCATTTGTGCATTTTGTCAATTTTTTGTGCAAATTTTATTCATTTAGTTGTCTAGCAAAATTAGTCAAAAATTATTGTAAACAGTACCAATATAGTGCTTCTAAAAAAAAAGGACATGTTCTATTTTAACTTGTTTGCAATTAGACATACTAAATAAAATGTACATAAGTAATTTTACACAGTTATATTGTTAATATCTAGAATAATATTAGCATTTGTAGACCTAATTTTTTAATGTGCCCTGAGAGAATGGATAAAGAGGGCTGTTTGCTAAGCCCATAATTCACTGAGTAATCATGAGGTGAGCTCTTAGGATGGTTGACATTTCTATCCTCCTAGATGTCTTCATTTTTGTCCATGAAATTTAAGTCAGTATAGTTGTTCCTTATGTTAAATATATTAGTCCTTCAGTGTAGTTACTAAGCCTTCATTAAGTTACGAATCACTAAACCATTTATTAATGACATTGCCGATCAGGTAGACACTCTACATATGCAGATTGAAATGGTTTAATATACAATATTAGTGAATAATATTTAGTTATCAACAGTTTCTAAAACAAACATCCTTTGAGAAAGCTAGCTTTTATGTTAAATTGATATATTTAAAAATATTTTATAGATGGCATATGCCTTTGTGAATGTTATAATAAGTTATAATTAGTATTTTTTTAGAAATCGAAGTTTAAAAATTTATAGCTAATATTTGAGCTATGCTTATGAAGGTTTTTAAGAGAATGTACCCTTCAAAATTCTAAATTCTGTAATTTTTCCACCTCTAGAGTAAGTTAATTGTAGTGTATATTGATATGACATTACTATTTTGAATTTTACAATAGATAAAATATATATTTTCTCTCACTTTTGGAGCCCTAGAGTAGTAAATACTGATGCATATTAAATATATTAAGCATATAATCTGCTTTTATTTTTTAAAGGGTAATTCTTTTTTGAAACTGTCTTACCAATGTGTTACTTCTTTTTTTAAAAAAATTGTATGTAACATAGAGAACATTTCTTAAGTGCTCTTGTTTTTAGAGAAGGAAATATATGTCTGTATTAATCTGTATTAATTTATTTAGAACATATATTGAATCTACTGTTTATTCTCTTGCGTTCTATTTTTCTCTTAAAATATTTACAGAAGTCATTTACTATTATAGTGTAAAATGTATATTAGTTTAGATTTATATTTAAATTATTTTAAGCATGCAAAAAAAAAATGTTTCATATTTTTCCACTGTAAACATAAAAAAAAATACTCAATACTTGTTTTGTTTTCAAGATTGAAAAATGAAGCTGCCAATAAGGAACAAGAACCTGTGTCTGAGGTAAATTTTGTAATATTTCGTACCTCTTAAAAGTTTGTACATTTGAAAGTATTGTTGGTGTGATTTTTAAAACAGCTCAATGTGCATATATCACTAACAATTATTGGCATGTTATCAGAAAGAAAAAAATTGTAATTTTGTTTTAATTATTTTAAAAATATCTAACCATAATTATGTAAAATTGTAAAGTGTTTTATTTTGACAAAAATATCATATATTTCACTTGCTTATTATTTAGTTCAACTAGTTAGTAATGGAGATAAATTTATTACTTAAAAATCCTGAAATCATTGAAGCATCAAACATCTGACACACTGGGAAATTAATCTTTCTAGAAAATTTTATTTTCTGGGGCTCTTCACAAAGATTTAAATAATTTTTAAAATGGAAATATTTTGAATATGTATTTAATATGGTTTAGCTATCCTAAACAGACACTTTGAATATAACACTCAAGGTCTAATCAATGAGTATAGAAATAACTTTGCTCAAGTACTTGCTTTCTTGATGTCAGTTTAAAAATATTGCTTAATACTACCTGTCTCTTTCTGAGTATGATGAAATGAGACAGGTCCAGCATTTATCTTTTGAATAGCATTTCTACCTTGTACAGTGAATAAGTGAAACCGAGAGAGGAGTATAGCCTTCTCCCGAGTGGCTTTCTGTTATCCCACAGAAAGTTTTCCTTTGACAGATTTTGAATTATAAATAAGTGTCTTTAACAGACATAGGATTTCTTAGTTAACTGTTTATTCTTGGGTGAGTTTTGGTGTTTGTGGGTTTTGAGGAATTGGTACATTTCATCTGAGATACTGAATTTGTATGTATAGAGTTGTTTGTAGTATTACCTTATTCTTTTAATGTCTGTGGGTTCTACAGTGAGTCCTCTTTCATTCCTTATGTTGATAGTTTGTGTGTTCTTTTTTGTTTCTAATGTTGTCATATATTTTACTTTTACTTAGGTTATAAAGACAGAATACAGTGTTACCATTTTTGTTTTTAATAGTCATTTTTAGAGCAGTTAAATACTTAAGACATTTTATATCCAACTTCATTTTCACCATTTCTAGTGTTTTTCATTTCTTTTTGTAGCTCTCAGATTCCATCAAGTATCATATTCCTTTTGCCTAAACAACTTCCTTTGAAATATCTCATGTTGCAGATCTACTAGTAATTACTTCTTGCATGCTTTTTCCTTCAAAAAAAATCTCTGTTTTTCATTTTTGAAAGTTGTTTTTGGTGAGTACAGAATTCTGGGTTGACTTTTCTTTCCCCCATTTAAAGAAATTGTCTTTTGGCTTACATATTTTCTGACACGATGTCTTATTGTAATTTTTATCTTTGTTTCTGTATATGTATGTAATGTGTCAATTTTCTTTAGTTGCCCTCAAGTTTTTGTCTTTGTCTTTAGTCTTTATCAGTTTGAATATGATGTGTCTGAGTCTGGTTTGTTCATTTGTTTATTTATATGTTTATCTATGTTTATTTGTATATTTATTTTTGACATTCATTCTGATTGGTATTCTTACTTGCCTTGTGTCTTCTACTCTGGGCTTCCAATTACACGTATGTTTTACCATTTGATGTTATTCCCTATTCTTAGATGGCCTGTTCTAGTCTCCTCACTCCCTCCTCCCCCTGCACTCTTTTTTTTTCTTTTGAGTTTCAGTTTGGGTAAACCCTATCTATTGGCCTGTTTACTGATTGATCTTTCAGTTGTGTCAGATTTACTGGTGAACCCATCAAAACATCTTTTAATCTCTGTCATTGTGCTTCTTTTTCTACCAAAGCATTTAACATATTAATCATAGTCATTTAAAATTTCCTGTCTGATAGTTCTAACAGCTGGGTTATAACTAAGTGGTTCTGCTGATTATTTTATCCTCTGACAATGTATTTCCCCCCATTCCTGCTTTTTCTGTGTATGTTTGATTGAAAGCAAGACATTATATGTGGGACTGAGATCAACAGTATTAATAGCTGAAAATGGACATACCTTTTCTCATGTTAGGCTATTAGTGTGGGATTTGGGTCCACATAGTAGTGAGTTGATTTGGGTTTTGGTTTTTCAATCACTGTGGTTACCCTTTATATACCACCAGGTTCAATTCCTGTACTGTTTCCTTGTGTGTAGGATAGGAGTTGCATTGCTGGAGGTTTTTTTGTGTGTGTGTCCTTGCTCAACACTCAGTTTTAGTCTTTCCTTGTGAGACTGAACCACAGAGGTTGTCTCTCTCTGCACACTTGCCTTTCTTCTAGCAGTACTGCTGTTGCTTGTTATTTGATGTTTGCTGGCCTAGTGGTAGGCGATGGGAATTGTGGTGATTTTGTCTGTTGTTCTGAGGCTCTTAAGCTGGCTCTGTGTCTGTGGGTCTTGAGAATAGAAATGTTTTCTTCTGTCACCCAGCCACAGTTGGTTCTTATACACTGGGGGCAGCAGGGTTTGCCTGTCTTTTTTCCAAATATGTAAAGGCATGGACATGAAGATTTGTGAATTCATCATTTCATGACATTGCCCATTGATTCTTTCTTGATGCAGTCATTCTTGAATAAATCATCAAACTCTTACTTTCCTTTGATTGCTTTGTTTCATCTGTGTCAAGTAAAACCAGTTGGTTACATAAACCAACTTTCTTAAGTTTATTTTTTGTTAAAAGAAAAAAGGCTTATGCTAAAAATTTAGCAAGCCATAAGCAGAGTTAAGAGAAGCCATATTGAATGCAAGGCCACATAAAACAATCTTGGCCTGGGCTATTTCAAGTATAAATGTGGTGTGGATAGTCCCTTGAATAGATACAGGTGTTTGTTTTAAGAACACATGTGATATGGTGGATAGCTTGAATTAATCTTCAAGAGGTTGATCAGATGCATTGTAGTAAAATCAATGTTATCATACCCCAATAATATTTTCCTATTACCACTTTTTCATTTGTATGGTTTTACATTTCCTTCTTCAAACTTAATTCCTTTCATATACTGGATTGTATTTGGAATTCATATTAATATAGTCTACTTCTAAAACAGCCTCTGGTCTTCTACTATGTATATTCTATACACTGCAACATTCTACTGCTTTTGTTTGCTAACTATATATAGATATAGATAGATATATGCACCATGACTCTTCCCCTTTGGTCTCGGCTAGTGTAGTTGCATTGTAACTAAATAGGGAGGTGAGAGAGAGGAAGTATGTGCAGATGCCTTTCTCTTTCCTTGCTTCCTCGCCTGGCCATTAGGGGACACTTGATAACATGTTCCAGGAATCTTTGTGTTGGGAACAAAGATTAATAAAATTATTTCCCTATCCCCAAAGTGGCCAAAATCTAGTAGGACAACTAGATGAAAGAATTGTAATCCAGTAAGATAACTACATATTCCAAGTTTATCAAGTATGGTAGATACACACAGGAGTCCCCTTAGGGTGACTTTATGGTGTTTTCCTCTCTTTTTAAAGATTCTTTTCTCAGTTCAAACATATACACCATATGCAAAATAGAGGATCCCTGTGATTTCATTAATGAGGTGTGAAACTAACTCTAGTTTTTATTCCTATAATACTATTTGGGCTATCCATAAAGAATCCCTAAGGTTTTTATTTTTGTTTTTTGTTATATTTTCTTTGCTTTTTGCTTTGTAACTTTTTCAGATCTTGAGGATTTCAGACCTTGTAGAATTACTTTTTGTCAAAATAAAAGTTAAAAAATTTGTGCAGATAGTTTATCATAAAAGTAGTGATTCATCTCCCTCACCCTTTTTCATCCAACTCTTTAGAGGCAGCCATTTTCAACTCTTTTAGCTGTTTGAGCTAATATTTATCTCCATGTTTCTAAATAATATAACCATATTTTATTAATTTGTCTTTTTTTGACACTATGACTGACTGGTACAGTATTAAAATTTACTTCTCTAGACCACCATGCATACTTTCCTCTTTCTCCCCAGCATCCAAGCCAGGGCCAGAATTAGTGAGGCAAGTGAAGTCTCACGTCTGGCAGGAGATTTAAGGGGGCTTCAAAAAATTCAGTAATGAGGTAAATAATTTCATTTAATATTTATAAAAATCAAAACTAATGCAGAGTAATCTGTGACGAACATAATTTCAAAATTTTAATTAAAGACAGGCTCCATCCCTACTCTTGTATAATCCTGAGAGTCATACACATGGGGGACACAAGCACAATGAGCTGAGTCTCTCACTTGCTGTTTTTTTTCTAATGATCTTTTTTAGTCATGAAGAAAGGTGACGAGTTGTTTTCATTGTTTGTAGTTTCAATCCATAGTATTGCTAAGTGAAAGAGAAAGTTTTATTTAATTATGCATACATGCTTATGTGATTTTTATAATATTATTAAGAGCACCAAGTTATGTAATACAAATTTTGTTTATTAATATATTTGACCTTTCACAAATGAAATTTGATGAAATGCCAAAATTTCCTGAAAAAGTATTTTCTTATCAGGGAACTTTATACTTTCTTCACTTAAAAGAGTTATAATTTACTGTTACTCACGTACTTATGTAAAATATATTTTTCACTACTTGTTTTTCACTACATTGGTCTAAAAACCTGGTATGTAGTTTTCTGCTGTTTTTAATTACTGATTTTCATATTTTTATACAAATATTGATTTAGACCTCTGTTAAATATAATTTATATGAATTAAGTTAAGTCACATAAAGTCATACTATAATAACAAAGTCAGTATATTAAACTGAATATATTAATTTAAAATATATTTAAAATTTATACTAAAATTCTTAAAAATAAATATGAAATCTAAACAGTCAAGTAGTCCATTGTTTAAAGAAGAAGAAAAATACATGCAGAAATTGATCAGAATTGTAGGAGACACAAACAGGTTTGCGTAGGAAAAAAATTCCAGCTACTTAAAATGAAATCTCTAACATTGACACTATTAGAATAGAATTACTATGAAATGTAGAGATAAAGAATTTTCTTTGAATTGTGAGTTAAATATAAGAAAATGAAACATTAGAAA